TCGTACAACTTTTGCCTGTTTCGTTGAAGCGTGGGAAAAAGACGCACGTGTACCGCTTGCAATAACTATGCGAATGCTGAACATACAAAAGTTATTCAAGTTTATACTCATCATTGCGGTGAAGCTTTTAACTACATTGTATAATAGTAAAGTAATGCTTTTTTAATCGAGCAAATTACCATAAAGAACAAAACGCAATATTTCTTTTTATAAGCACGCGTAATTAACAGTCATTGAATCATTCTCAATTTATTTTTAGACTGGGAAAATCCAATTCAGCCAGTGAATATGACACTACACCCAGTGATTATGATTCTATAAAAGATTTTGTCGACTACTTTTTAGACCAATGAGACTGCAGCTATATTAAGATCATATAATAAAGTATAATAATGCACGATTAATGGTAAGTAATCCCTCTGGTATATCGGCTTATAGTACGGCTCCTTTCACTAAAATTAAAGTTTAAGATATTAAAATTTATTATTTGCTACATATATATTTTATAAAAGTAAAGTAAATAAAAATTAAATATATCATGACATATATATGGTTTTTGTGTCTGATAAAAATAACACCGACACAATTATTAATTATATTACAGACCTTTCGTTATAGATCAATTCACTACATTGTAACAGGAGGTGCTTTACAAAACAGCACTACTTATTATCATAGGCACGGCTTACCTCTGTTGATAAAATAAATAAGTATATGACAATAAACGTTATAAATATGTCCAAAAATCATAAATCTTTAGGGCTGCATATTTTAATTAGCATTATGCTATCCAGTAACCTGTCAGAAGTCAACGGAACGTGATATGTGACGCTTTTAAAATATGATTATTGATAAACTTTGCTTTGAAACCTTGGGTTTTGAAAAGCAAAAAGCTGTTGTGAAACACTTAATTTATTCAAGCATTATAAATATACAACTGCAATTTGTGTTTTTGTTTCTTTTTAATTAGTATTTTGTCAATATAATGATGAAAAGCACTAAGTGAAATGTTTATTGTACTTGTCACTTATGTGCGTAATAATGAACAAGATTCACTAGATTTGTTTCGTATACTTGAAACACAACCGTTCTCTATCATTTTTTTATTACAAACTAGTGTCAAAATTATTTTACATACACACATTGGAAAAAACACAAAGAGAATAGCACATATGAGTACTTAATATTCTGACAAGACAAGTACAAAGTAACAGGAAATGAAAAAAAAATATGTCCAACTAATATCATTTCAGGATTTTGATAGTCTTAAATTGGACTGAAACATGGAGAGTATGGTCAGTTTTGTATGTTAACACTGACATAAAATAACAGTAATAACTAGCATTATCGCATGGTTTCGAACTTAGTCTTTGTTCTTACTAACCCCTTATACTCAATACACTTCAATAAGCATTAAGCTGTAAAAAGGCAAAACAAACCACTAGAAAATGTTTGAAAAGGTTAAGATTGCAAAGATCGGATCATAACTTACTTGAATATATACAGAGTAAATGTAATTATAAAAATATGTGTAGACGGAAACGTCAGTTGTTTAATAGAAAATATCTGCATAAAGTAGAGAGTTCTGTAAATAATTCCAAAAAGTTTTGGTCTGAAGTTAAAAAGGTTTTAAACAAACCGAAACCATTATGTAATATTTCACTTGACGTTTGGTTTGAACATTTTAGTTCATTATTTTCAAATAATGAGAATGAATATGATATAAATGACATAAGGGATGATAATTGTAATGTAAGTGTAAACTTTGATGAAATTGAAGAACTTATTTTTAATTCTAATATCACAGACGAGGAAATTTTACAAGGTATAAAATCTTTGGACATTAATAAATCTCATAGTGGCAAGATTATACCCCAACAACTAGTTTACGGCGTTAATGTTTTATTACCTTTTATTCGTAACCTTTTTCAAAGATTATATTCACGTGGTGAATTCCCTGATTGTTGGGCAAAATCAGTTATTATACCATTGCACAAAAATGGAAGTTTGAATAACCACCCAAAAAATATAAGGGCATATAGCATTATTGGAGGTATTTAGTAAGGTTTATATATCCATACTTACTAAAAGATTATTATTTTATGTTGAGGCTTACAGTAAGCTCTCAGAAGCTCATGCTAAATGTAGAGCTGGATACACTACAATAGATAATGCTTTTATTTTATATTCTATTGTTAATAAATATTTAAATATGAAAGAAAAATCAATATATGTAGCTTTTGTAGATTTCCAAAAAGCTTTTGACTCAGTAGATAGAGGTTTATTGTTTGAGATTTTAAAAACAAATGGAATAAAAGGTCACTTATTTGAGGCAGTACATCAAATTTATTCGTCAGTTAAAGCATGTGTTAGATCAAATGAGGTGGTAACTGATCTATTTTCTTGTCCAGTTGGACTCCGTCAGGGATGTAGTTTAAGTCCGGTATTATTTGCAATGTTCATAAATGAATTACAGTCACTGTTACAAAATGAAAATATAAGAGGAATTCAGTTATTTCCTGATATTGTTGAAATTTTTATATTGCTATTTGCTGATGATATTGCTTTAATGTCAGATACAGTTGTTGGGCTACAAAAGCAATTAAATATATTAAACCAGTTTTGTACACAAAGTAAACTAACTGTTAATATTACAAAAACTAAAATATTAGTGTTTAAACGTGGTGGTCAAATAGCTAGAAGAGAAAAATGGACGTATAACGGTAGTCAATTAGAAATTGTTAATGGGTTTACATATGTTGGTATATATTTCTCAAACAGATTGTCTTTATATAAAATGGCCGAAGTCATGTCTAACAAGGCCAAAAAGGTACTTCTGTATATTTTAAATTCTTTTCAGCAAATGTCATGTTTGCCATATAAAACGTTTTTTGCAATTTTTGACTCTAAAGTCGCATCTGTAATGTTATATGGGTCGGAAATATGGGGCCTAAAAAGACCAAACTGTATAGAGACGCTGCAATTATATGCATGTAAAAGATTTCTAAATGTAAATAAATCAGCTTGCAATGATGCCGTACTTGGTGATACAGGGAGATTCCCTATGAGCGTGTATGCATCTAAACGGTGCATTAAATTTTGGATAAGATTATTAAATCTACCTAGACATAGATATACTAGACTCTGCTATGAAATGCTTGTATATTTTGATAATTTAGGATACCACAATTGGGCTAGTGATGTAAGACAAAATTTATATGAAAATGGTTTTAGCTATGTGTGGGAAGCTCAAAATGTTGTAAGCCCCAAAATGTTTTTAAGTCAATATGTTCAGAAATTGAAAGACCAGGCAATGCAGTGTTGGTCTGCTAGATGTGCTGAAACAAGTAGATTGTGTCATTATATAAAATTTAAGCAGTTTTTTGGGGCTAAAAAATATATATTCAAGTACTAGATTTTGATAAATATAGAAAATGTCTAGCAAATTTCCGTTGTTCATCACACAACCTTTTGATTGAAAAAGGAAGGCATTTTAACATAGACAAAGAATATCGTGTATGCATTTATTGTGAAACTGCTATTGAAAATGAAATTCATTTAATGAGTGTACCCTTTGTATGCTAATCTTCGTTCAAAATATTTGCCAGATTATTATTTTCGTTATCCAAATATACAAAAATTTTATGATTTAATGTCAAGTGAAAATGTAGATATAATACGAAATGTATCAATGTACATTTATTATTCTTTTAAAGAGAGAGAAGAATTTATCAGTATGTCTGAATAGTGTATATGTACACACATAATTAATAAGTTTTTTAAATATCATATTGTACAGTCTGACCATAACCACATGCAATGTATGTATTATATATGTGATGTTGTATAAATTGTGTTTGGGCCGGAGGCCATATATACAAATAAACGAATTGAATTGAAAAAAATTGATGAATAACATCGCAAAGGTTTGTGGAAATGCTTTTATTTCTTTGTTCAAAATCGGTTTGTGTTTGCAGATGTTAATTTGTTAGACAAACGAAATTAGGTCAAGGATTGTTTACATTATTGAATTTACAGGTAAACTCGGCCCTACACCAACTCGGGACAAGTGACGTAGTCAACTCGGCCCTCTATTAAAACCATATATTAGGATTAGGATATAGATTGTTTAGTTAATAACATATTGTTTGAAATTATATTTAAGATAAATAATTATCTGAAGAAGAGATATCAAGAGACAAGACAATATATGTTAAATATTGATCAATAAATAGAGTTTTTAGATTGAATTTTTGTGACAATGAATTTTATTGTATTTAATACTGTTTGTTCTTTAATATGACAAATGCTTTTTTAATGATATTTTTTACAAAAAATCTGGAGTAGCAAAATATGCGTTTAAATTGTAAATTCTTTCTTTCTCTACAAATTCACATACAAATTGGTACTTTTCATCAATAAAACTTTTCAATATCCTTGAGTAGATGTCTGTTACAGTAGTGTGAAAATGTTAAACCATGAAAGTTATGATGAAAACATATCAAAAGTAAGAAAAGTAATCATTACCAGTAATATATAATTATGGGCCTAGTTGACCCGTGCTGAGTTGGAATAGGGCCAAGCTGACTCGAGGGCCAAGTACGTTTTAGGGCCGAGCTGACCCTGATTCGAATTTACAGTGTTGACTGTTGTGTAGGATTTGCTTTTTCATATCTATTGTATATAGACTATCTATTAACATAGAAATAAGTTTATAATATATTTAACTGTTGTGTACAATTGATATTCGATCACTGTATCAAAATTTATCTCGGCCCTCCTGATTTTTATTTGGCGAGGTCCGAGGACCGACAGCCTTTCGCACAGACTGCAATTTGCAGTTGGTATAGTAATTTTTAGTGTTTGATGATCAGAAGATTTTTTCCTTCTGAAAATCATGGACTTCATCTTGAATAATTCAAATCTGTGTGAAAGCGCAAAGAGAAAGAGACTGAAAATTAATTTATTATTTCTATGGACAATATAGATGTTATAAATTTGTAATCAAACATATGGGTCAATTTTCAGCAGTAGTTGAATCATGACAAAGTATTTTTAATAATTTTATTTAACTTCTGGCTACTTGAAAATTTCATGCTGGATGTTTGCTTACCATTACTTTTTGCATAAGAGCTCTATGATTGACATTAAAGTCCACGGGCCAATTCATTTCTGATATATCTATAATCTTTCCGATATCTTGTTATAATATAAATGACTGAACATCATTTTAGAATTATTAGGAAGAAATACATAAATGTATGTTCATTCTTTGTAAAAATGTTAGAAGACTTGCAAGTTACCGACTTAATCATTGCATTTATTTATTATTGAAAAAATGCTGAACAGCTAGTCTCAACAGTGTTATAGGCTAGAATTTTCAGTTTGCATTAGGGCCAAAAATGAAAATATATTGTTAGTCATGACGGCTTTCCTATTGCTGTCAAAAAACTTTAACCTTGTTCATAACTTTTTCAGATCTTGGTGTATTGTCTTCATACATGGCCACAACAACCCTTCAAATAGACCAGACTAAACTTAATTAACTTGACCACCATATTAACATTCAAGGTAAATGTCTAAATTTTCTTGATTTTTGCTATTAGTAGCTATAACTTTGTTATTTTTGAATGCTTGAACAACAATCTTTCAGGATAGGACCTGACTCACTCATAAATGTCCTTGAAGCTTTTGTGATCAGAAGTTGTACAGAATAATACAAACCCAGAACAATTTCATTTACTTGGTTTTGCAACTTCTGAGACAATGGATTTTAAAGATAGTTGTTTTCTTGAAATTTCAGGACAGTATAGTAGATAGTAAAGACATTTAATACATACTGTATATATACTATAATTACTTTAGTGTCCAACTTTATTTGTCATCCAATGAAAACGCTGTTTCTCTTAAAAATTGTGTGCGTTAATTTTCATAGAAGTACAAAAGTCGATACTATATCGAATTACCTCCATAGTCGACTTCTGTTCTTTATGGTACTTCATAAAACTGCATAGTGACGTAATAAAGTGAATGATAATGAGGCCAAATAAAGTTTGACGCTAACTATGTTAGTATTCATCCGTGCTGTTCTACAGAAATTAGAAACATTCTCCTGTCGCTATTGCTCCCGTCGAAGTTTCTTATTTCTGTAGAACAGCACGGATGAACACTAACATATACATAGTATACTATAAAAATCTTTATGCTTGGACAATTTTGAACAAATTGTCTCTTAAACAGTGTAAGAAATTAGGATTTGAATCGACTTGGCTGGTCGGACTATTAGATTGAAATATTTACTTGCCCAAAAGACATTTCACTAGCACGATTCATTTGTTCAAAACAGTTGTTTATATTGCCTCTGAAAATACAGTAGCCTGGTCAGGCTTTTTACTGTGAAAAGTTGGTAGCCCGAGGAGAAATTTAGTAGTCGGGCTCTCAGACTACTGCTAATTTCGAACATTAGCTGCTTAATTAAATTATTGATTTGATATCAACTAACATAATAATTGGGATACTATATGTGTATCTAATAATAATTATATTTTATTTTTCAGAAGTTCGGCCTACATGTCAGATTTATGAATGTGAACAGCAGGATATCGATTTTAAGGATGCTTTAGGGTCAATGACAATGAAATCATGAGAGATAAAGGCTAAAATGTGAGACTGTCAATCTGACCAACCTTGAAGTGAATAAATGGAAAAATGTTTCTTTCAATAGCATGGGCATTTAAGGAAGAGGTACATGATTATTTAGAAGTATTTGTATATGATATTTCTTAATTATTATTTTCTAATAGCTTTTTTTTCTTGACTTGTTTAAAGGCTGACACAGGACAGTTTATTTTAAGTCAGTGAGCTTCTGTCACTGGATAGACTATTGTCACAAAAAGCCAAATTTATAAAAAAGAATTAGTGTATTTAAATATCTTATACAAGAAATTAGGAACAAAATTAATAGCAAGAACAATTGTGACATGTAACATGTATTTAGGAATTCAGCTTTCCTTTCCTTTTCACCTCAGGACAATTCACATTAAAATATTGAATATTCACAGTAAGCAGTGTTAGCACTCCAACATATCTGACATATATGATCATCTTATCATCACTTAGCCAGAATCACTCACATTTATGAATTTGAATAATTTTGAAAAAATTGCTGCTTAGCAAATAGATAAAATACCCGGGATGTCTGTGACTGATTGTTTTAGTTTATTGACTCCTTTCACTGCTGTAAGTTCAAGCTCAGCATTTTTTCATGTGAGAAAGCTCATTTATGGAAGATTGATGGTATCCATGTGCCTGAAATCATACACATAGGTGCACCAAGGTCTTCCTCAACCAGTAAAGCTGGAAGGAAATTGTGCTGAAAATTGCCCCCCCCCCCAAAAAAAAAATAATTTTTTTTTATAAAAATAGTGGAATTTTAATTTAATTTTGCAATTAACTTTTTCTAAACAAATATTTCAGGAAACAGAGGCGCTTATATGATAGAACAGATAAAGCAGGAGTGATAAGGAAAGATGTAGATGTGTCTTCATGTCGGAAACACTTAAGAAATAGAAAAATTGTGGTTTTATAAAACTTAAAAGAAATTGGAATACCAGGAGACTGCCTGCCCTTTGCAATGTTGGATAATGAGTTCTTAGATGTGATGTCGAAAGTCTCATGAATATAGTACCATGACTTAATCTAATTAGAAAAAGAAATGACATTGAGGAGAAAACTAGTCACCAGTCTTTCACCAATAACTAGAGATAACTTTCCAATATTTGAAATATCATAATGTGTATAGAACTTTAATGAGCCACCAGTTTTTCACCAGGAAAATAAGATCACTTAACTATTTTTAGCTCACCTGTCACAAAGTTACAGGGTGAGCTTTTTTGATCGCTTTTCGTCCGGCGTCCGGCCCTAAACTTTTACTTTAAATGAAATCTCCTCATAAACCACTAAGCCAATTTCATCCAAACTTTACAGGAATGTTCCTTTGGTGGTCACCTTTAAATACTGTTCATAGAATTTAATTTCATGCAGAAAGCTGGTTGCCATGGCAACCAAAAGAAAATGACATAAAGTATCTTCTTTTAAAGAACTCAAAGAGCTAGAGCTTAGACAAAGTATCTTCTTTTAAAGAACCCAAAGAGCTAGAGCTTAGACATTTGGCATGATACATCTTCTAGTGAGTGTCTACCAAGTTTGTGCAAATAAAAGTCCTGGGGTCAAAATTGGCCTGGCCCCAAGGGGTCATTGATTTTCCCTATATGCATATAGTAAAAACTTAAAAATCTTCTTTTAAAGAACCAAAATAGCTAGAGTTTAGATATTAAGCATGAAACATCTTCTGGTAAGTGTCTACAAAGTTTGTTCAAATAAAAGCCCCGAGGTCAAAATTGGCCCCCGCCCCGGGGGTCATTGATTTTTCTTATATGTGTATAGCAAAAACTTAAAAACCTTCTTTGAAAAAAACCCAAATAGCTTGAGTTTAGATATTATACATGAAACATCTTCTGGTAAGTGTGTACAAAGTTTGTTCAAATAAAAGCCCTGGGGTCAAAACTGGCCCCGCCCCAGGGGTTTCATTGTTTTTAACTATATGTGTATAGTAAAAACTTAAAAAATCTTCTTTTAAAAAACCCAATGAGCTAGAGCCTAGATGTTTAGCATGAAACATCTTCTTATGGTGTCTACCAAGTTTGGTCAAATTTAAGCCCTTGGATAAAAATTGGCCATGCCGGGGGTGGGTGGTGGTGCAGAGGTCTATGTTTTACATAAAATTTGTGTAGTAAAAACTTAACATCATGAAACATCTTCTAATGGGTGTCATACAAGTTTGTTCAAATAAAAGCCCTGGGTTTTAAACTGGCCCCGCTCCAGGGGCCAATATACACATGGCCCTTTTGTTGAAATATGTATGAACAAATCTTTATCAACTTCAAGGTTTTATTGAAGAAATTTGAATTACTTGGCACAAATGATTGTTATAATAAGACGATGAGTCATGTGCAACAACCAGACCCCTACCTCCAGGGTCAAGGTCGCACTTGCTCATTCAAGGTCAACATTGTCTATTTGAGAGTATATCTCGTGTCTGGTCTATAACTTTCCTATCTCTAAAGGGATTTTGTAAATACTTGCCACAATTGCTCACAATAATGAGAAGATGTGTCATGCGCAACAACAGGTCACCTGCCTCCAAGGTCAAGGTCACACTTGGAGGCGAAATATTAACATAACCTGTTACAGGGTATATTTCGTGTCTGGTCCATAACTTTGTCATTTATTGAAGGAATTTGAAATAACTTGGCACAAATGTTTGTTATAATAAGATGATGATGCGCAATAACCAGACCCCTACCTCCAGGGTCAAGGTCACACTTGCTCATTCAAGGTCAACATTGTCTATTTGAGGGTATATCTCGTGTCCAGTCTATACCTTTCTTATCTTGAAGGGATTTTGTAAATACTTGCCACAGTTGTTCACAACAATGAGATGATGTGTCATGCGCACCAATCGGTCACCAACCTACAAGGTCAAGGTCACACTTGGAGGTCTAAGAATAACATAGCCTGTTATAGGGTATTTTTTTGTCCGGTCCATAACTTTTTCCTATATCAAAGGATTTTGAAAACACTTGGCACAAATATTCACTATAATAAGACAATGTGTCATGCGCAACACCTGCATCCCTACCTCCAAGGTCAGGGTCACATTTCGAGGTAAAAAATTAACATAGTCTTTTAAAGGGTATATATTGTGTCCAATGTAGAACTTCTTCATAGTTCAAGGAATTTTGAAATAACATGGCACAAATAGTCACAATAATAAAGACTATATGTCAAGTACAACACCTGCACCCCTGCCTCCAAGGTCAAGGTCACACTTAGAGGTATAAAGGTAACAAAGTCTGTTATATGGTATATTTTATGCACCGTCCATAACTTCTTCATAGATGAAGGGATTTTGAAAATACTTGGCACAAATAGTTACAATGATAAGATGATATGTCATGCACAACACCTGCACCCCTACCTCCAAGGTCAAGGTCACACTTAGAGGTCAAAGCAGGGATTTTTTCCAGGATTTTGGGAACATAACCCATACCCATGGAACTGGGAATTTCAGCAATATTTTGTTAAAAATTGGGAAAAAATACATGACTGAAATTTTGCAGTGATTAAATGTATGCAAGCAATCACTGCCTAGGATGGCTTCTTCAAACATTTTAACACTATAACAGTGAAGAAGCCCTTATTTTCAAAGATTTTAGAATTCTTTATTCAATATCTATATTTTTGTAACTTTCAATTGGGAATATTTTCCTGTGGATTGGGAAAATAATATACTATTTTCAATTGGGAATATGTCCCAATAAAGGCTATAAAATGAGCCAAAAAATCCCTGCAAAGCTTAACATGATAGATTTTAAAATTCAGTTTTTCATTTTATTTCTTTAATAAATATATTGTTGCATTTGCAGATCTAGCATTGATCATAATTTTGGACTGAAAATCCTTAGATCCCTGGCTCAATCTTTTGAAATAGCACGATTTTTTGTTTCATATAAAACATCCCTGAGGCAGGGGACGTTAGTAACTCTGTGGATCAAAAGTCAAATAATAAATTAAAACATGAGAGTATATTTCTATATACATGGCTGGATTTTCATAACATTTATCACAAATCATGAAATGTTCACTTATGTATACATCTTTCTCCCCAATCTGAAGCTTTAAGGTTCAGTTCTGAATAAAGGCAACAGGCTCGATATGCTGCCAGTGGGCTTGTCTAATTATGTACATATTTTGATTACCCACTCATGATAAGCATTGTTCTTAACGCAGGCATTCAAGTCCTGTGGGCACATTTCTACTTTTGACTATATTCTGTTGTATAATATCAGTCTTGTATGTAAAAAATCCTTAAAACAGCACCTCCTATACCACTGGCCGTTTGCGTTAAAGCTTCTTTCATTCAGATTGTTATAACTTGTGTCACCTCAATATGTACCAATAATTTAAAGGGACTCACTCCATTGAGGTTTAAAAGCCTAAAACATAACATTAGAATTTCTACAGAAATGAGCCGGGGCACTTGATACAGAAATATATGCACAGATAGTGAAGAAATATACTTTGAAATAAATTGAAAATCGATTTTTTATGCTTTTCTCAGCCTGATCTGCGTGAAATGTGTTTAAACGCTTTTATTTTGGGTCATTTTTTTTACAATTTGAATAATTATTCTTGAAAAACGAAGTGCGCAAATGATCTGAAATTTTTCTCAAAGATAAGTGGTCAAAATATACATCAAGTGGTACATTAATCTAGAAAATAAATTTCAGTCTCATCATGTCAAAAAACCTCAGTGGAGTTCCTTTTACACAGTTTATCTGACAAACTAAATTTCATTATCTCCATATATTTAAGCATTTATTTTTTATATCACATATATTTTTTACTTTTATGCAAGTTTTGACAATAAAAGTTTACTTTAAATCATTGTTCTTTGTTTTGCTATGACTTTAAACAGCATGTACATCAATTTCATACTAAAACACAATTAGTCATGTTTGAACTTACAAATGTAAGCACATGATGAGCTTTTCTTGTCCTTGAGTTTAAAATAAAAGTCTCTTCATTAACTATGATTAAATAATGCTTATGGCATGGTCTTGAATTCCAATGAAGTAGTTATATAAGTCATGGCCGATTTAGGTCAAACTGAGTGGTTCTTTGTGTTCATAATGCAGTAGTATTATCTATTAATTCACTTATTAGAAACAGAATTGCCTATGATTTCAACTGATTATGAGTGTCACACTTATGGGTTTGGGGCCCTGGGCCAAGAACTAGTTATCAGCCCACTGAACATGAGTAGTGCAAAAAACAGAAACAATGACGTCACATTTTGTGTCATCAAATCAGCAAGCTGTAGATTGAAGCTTGCACATATTCCTTTGTTTTTAATTCACACACATTGGAAATTTCTATGAAAATTTCCTTCCAACAGTACTTTCAGTGCTTTGATTAATAAAATCTTTGTATGTGCTTGAAGCAGTCTGAGTGCTCGCTAATCTTAAATTATATCCATTAAGGAAAGCCTTTTATTATATCACCAACACTTGACTATTTTTTTTTTGTCTTAGAATATGAGTGCTGCGAAGACTCAGATTCTTCGATTTACTTTTTTTAAATACACTTTTTATCACCAATTACAAAATTTATTACGAAATTGGAAGAAATACTTTACCAAATAATTTTGCTTAAGAATTTACGAATCTCGCGGTTCAGTACAGCTTTGTTCCCTAAAACATATATTTGTTTGAACGATGAGTGCATTTCTTGCAGACACTTTTAAATCGTGAAAGAGAAGACTAGTAAAAATTGGCGTTTTTTACCTTTTTTTGATTTTAATGACATATAGTCGGAGGAGGAACTGATTATACGAAGGATGAAGTTCTTGTGATAACTTGTCAGGAGTTCTTGTGATTCCTTTAAGGACATTGAAAGTTAAAGTTGCTTCACAAGTTCGTGCGTTCTTTTTTTATCTTTTTGTTTTTTATAGATGAAATTGATTATGAAGCAATTTGTAAAGTAAAGTATTCACTGATAAAGAAGGGATTATTGATTTCAACTAAATAATAGTTATTTTTATAGCGTTTTATACAGACACCACATTAACGCTAGAATTGCATTGTTGCATGCACTTACTAACAAAATATATTTTCATAGTCACTTTGCAAATATTCGATGGTCGGTAATTATCGGATTCTGAAGTAAACCTTACGGATTTCAATGTATGGCACGACGGTATATGAATAAAGTATAATCACAAGTAGAATAACCAGCATATCACTTGCCTTACAAGCATCGATGGCAAGGTGTTCAGTTAGTTTCCAATTGAGGACTGTAGGCTCGATCAATTGATTTTTTCATGTTTTCTTATATGATTTTTTTTATATTTTTCAAAATTTGACCATTATGTGTTATGAATGGAAATCACAATGTAAAGTCATACACATGGCAATGAAAATATCAAAATTATGAAATTAAAAAATATGCTAGTAATGAAACACTCGATTAATAAACTTATGTTTCATATAATTAAATAAATGATAAAAAACAGTTTATGAAAACTACAAAAAGGATTTGTCCAAAATTCGAAGTTGCACTTACTAGGTCACAACTTCGTCGTACTCCCCACTATTCCACGGCCATCGAGCAGTATTAATATTGATTTAATATCGATATCTATACTATCAATATTTTTTTTAATTTTTAGTCATAATACGTTACGGAAACTAATGAAACACCTCCCGAAAATTAATCTCAGGTCTCAGGTCGATATTGCCAAACAAAACTTGCTTATTAAATAACGATAACAGTTTCTTGACAATATTGCTTAGAAAGTTTGCTTCAAATATGGTGCTTTATTATGAATAAACAGTTAGTCAACATATTGTTCCTCTTTTCGATTTACTTCTTGAACCATTAAGTGGATATTTTCTTATATTCAGGCGACTTGATGCTTTAGCATCAAAACCCCTACTTGTAGTGTAAGATGAGCAAATTTTACATTTTACTCATGCGGTAATTTGACACCACAGTGGTGTATTTTCTGCAGGGGCTATCTTTATCGCTGATAATATCTCCCGTTATTTGTGTTTTAAACTCCATTTGACCCCTTGTTAAATGTTACAATTCTCTAGCAGACAAGATTGATTGCAGTTTAGTAATTATTTATGCGGTTAAAGGCTAATTGAGATTTTTATTTGGGTTGTTGTTGTGTTATTTTGTTATTTATTTATTTATTTTTTATTAACATTTTTTTTAGATATTTTCCATTGATGCTCCATTTTTATTTGGTTAACTATTCTTTATTCATTCATAACTATCGTAATGTGTTTTTTTTTCGGCAGTGTTCATATCATTTAACTTATCTCTAATAAAGCCAAACCTAAAAAACAATATCATGATGTCTTTTTTCTCTGCAGATTAGAAAAAAAGAATTAATCACTCTTAAGGTGATGTACGCCAGCAGTTTAATACAATTTCCATTAGAGTTTGTATATATATTGTGACACAATGATTGTTATGTATAATCGCAAGTTTCATTTAAATTTCCAAGGGTGCTTTCAAAAGTGATCGTTAAACTTAAAAAGAAAAAATATTTCCAATAACAAAATCAAATTGTAGGAAGTTCATAATCTATAAATCATTATTATCTTCTTATCATTAACATTATGATTATAATCGGTTAGAGGTATCATTGCGTTCCCTACACATGTAAAATCATTAGGGAAAATAACGATAAGGCATTCAGACTGTTTTGATTAATGTAATAATACAAGAGACTGCAAGTATATACAATAATGTTCTTATACCGTCTTCAGATATTTTTATTCAGACATTATTTGCTCAAAATGTATAATTATCTTCCATATCATTTAACGCTAGATTAATGTCTTTATAAAAGGATAATAAAATACTTATTACAGGTGAAGCGAAGGCGGAAACGTACGTCATTTCATATTGGAACCAAAAGGGAGCTCACAAAATAGCACCACTTCTAATTATCTTAGGAATGATTTTCTAATGATTTGCTGCTAATATTAATAAGTCAATAACAATAAATGTTATAATTATTTACAATAATCATTAATGTTTAAGGCCGCATGATGTAATTAGCGTATTGCGATCCCGTTATATGTCGGAAGTCAACGGTAACGTGATAATTGATGATTGTGGAATATACAGTTATAATCAAAATGAAGCAGAAATTTATAAAGAATATTAAAGTTCCCTCTATAAAAACATCATTATTTTGCTCGAATGATATGAAAATAATAATTTCACGAGTGGTAGTAGCCACGAGTGAAATGTGATAATTTTCTTACCAAAAAGTGAAAATAAATCATGTAATAATAGAAAAAAACTTGATTTTTCTGTTTATTATATACTTTTTCTCTTTTTTAACCTTATAAATAGAAGAATTCCCTTTTAATTTTCTGTTTTGGCTGAATTTAGAAGAAAGTAGTCCGGCAAGACACCAGTGAAAATACAGAAAATATGTTTCATTCAGTGAATTATTCAATGATTATAAACGTTATATTAATTTAGCACAAATTCAAAGGGCCACACAATTATCCAATTAAAATAATTAGACCCCCTACATATGTCAGAAGGGAAATATAGTAGGCCCAGATAATGCACAGACTTTTGCAATACGCATGCCAATCAACATGACAGTGTGCATATTAGCTCGTGTATATTGATATGCTCTCTTATATATATAACACCATGATAGTTATTATATAACACCATGATAGTTATTATGGAAAATATATTTAAATGAATTTCTCGGTCACATAATTATTATGTATATAAATGATATTTGAATAAAGATTGGAATTGTAATAAAAATTGATCTGAAGCACATATGTATTTCTGGACTAACTATTTAGTAAATAGAAAAACAGACATAGCCATATTACATCTTCCTGACATATGGAACGGTGTTTTAGTAAATCTACCTATATTATAGTCCACAAAGTGGAAAATTATAGAATTATATATGCAAATTACGTCACGTAGCCTTATAATTGCTTTGGATATTTTATCTTTGAAAAAATTATCTGTTCTGTTCTGTGCTTGTGTAAAGCTACAGATAAAATAATTTCTGAGGCATAATGGGCCTTTAAAAGAAACGGCAGATACTCTTGTCGCAATCGGGTTAAGCAGTGATATATTACATACACTATAAAATTTATTTTTTGTTGTATTATTTATTATTAAATGTGTAACAATTCCGTATAGTTTTTCTTCTCAATTTTCAACTGTTAGCCTTTTCACAATACTTATATTTTTTTTGGTCTGACGCACTTTTTTATATTTATTATCATTTTCTTTAATAACTGTTGTATCAAGGCGTTATTTTTATTTTAGTTTTATTTCCTATCTTTTCCTAATTATCGCACATGTCAATTGTGCACTCACCCTTTACAACTTGTGCTATATCATTATATATTACTTCACATAAATGGTTCGTAAGCTGATCTACGAACGGGTGCATAAAGGTGACTTGTGTGTTTTATTTATATCGTGCTCACGAGAAACTATAACGTTACCACGAGTTACTTAGTCGTGCGCAAATTATATCTCGTGCGCACCACCTAACTTTCTCGAGCGCACAACTAAGTAACTCGTTGCTACGACAAAATATCAATAGGTCACCACATAAATATCTCTAGCGCTCCTCAAAACAACCTGTGGCCAGACATAGTATCTAGTGGCACTATTTAATTTTCTCGTGCGCACGACTAAGTATCTCGTGCGCACAAGATAAAAAAAACGCACACATGTCAAATCTGTGCCACGGTATCTACGCATATTCGTAAAATGTAAAACTGTCTATCTAATTACTTCGGTCGAGTGAAAATTAATAACTTGC